CGGGCTGACGCTGAAGCGGCGCCGGGATTCCCTGACTGGCGCGGGCGCAGGCGGCGTCGGCGGCGCAGCCGCGGCTGACGTGCTGGGGAGCGGGAGCCTCACCAGCGGCAGCTTTGGTGGCTTTGGCGCCGACGCGCCCGGCACGGCGGCCGCGGCAACGGCGACGCCCGAGCTCTGGCGGCCCGAGCCGCCCGCGGAGCGGCTCTCGCCGGTGCCGATGCAGCTGGACGGCCCGCTGCTGCCGGGCGCCGGCGCAGCGACCGACGGCCCCCTTAACGGACTGGCCTCCCCGCTGGCCATCCCCGGACTGCCGGACTTTGGGCTGCCGTCGCCGCCGCCCCAGGCCGAGGCGGCGGCGCTGCCGACCGGCGCCGCCGCAGCCGCGGCGCTCGCCGGCCTGCCCCAGCTCGTGCCGATGCCGCCGCCGCCACCATCGCCTGCGATGGCGCCGCCAGCCGCCGCGGCAGCGTCCACACCTGCGCCAACACCTGCGCCGGCAGCCTTCGCCGCGCCGCCAGCACAGCCGGCTGCGTCCGCAACTGGCAGCAGCGGCGGTGCCTGCAACGGCGACGGCGCGCCCGGCCCCGTGCGGCTGGTAAGCCGGCCCTTGTCGGTTTCGAAGACGTGCGCGGTGCGCTCGCGCCCAGGCGGTGGGATGGCGCACGGCGGCCTGGCGCGCTTGAGGATTGGGCCCCTCGCAGGCGGCGACGCCCTCAGCCACGGCGTGCAGCAACAGCAGCAGCAGCAGGGGCCGCAGCCGAACGCGGCCGCGGCGGCCCTCAACGCGGCGTCGGCGGCCGCCGCGGCCGCCGCGGCAACGTCACTCCCGCCGGTTTCCGGGCCGCTGCCGGGCATCACCCTGCGGCCGCTGCAGCTGCCCGGCGGCACGCCGGCCGGCCTCGCCTCGATGCAGCAGGCCCTGCAACAGCTGGGGATGCGCCCGCTCGCGGCGCTGCCGCTCGCCGCGCACGCCGTGCCGGGCCAGGCGCCGCTGCTGCAGCTGCAGCAGCTGCAGCCGGAGGTGGCGCAGCAGCTGGTGGCGCAGCTGCAGAGCAGCGCCGCGATGCGCGGCGGCGCCGCGGCGGTGGCGCCGACGGCCGGCGGGGCCTCGGGCGCGCCCGCCGCCGCGCTGGGGCCCCTCTGCATCACCCCCCTACAGCTGCCGTCGCTCGCCGCCGCAGCTGCAGCGGCCGCCGCGGCCAGCAGCGGCGGCGGCGCGGCGGCCGGCCCGCCTGTCATTTCCTTTTCCGT